AGGGAAATATTTCTAATTTTTTTCAGTTTTAAAACAAAAATAATTGTACATTTCATGTCTTTTTTAATCACTCCAATGACCCCAGTTTTTGTTTCAACTTGTGAACAGAAATTAAAATTAAAAATACTCTCTTTTTCCAAGATTCCTTCATTGAACTTACACACACCTGCACACACATACTGGGCCAAGCCAGAGTGAAGGTGGCAGCACCTTTGCAAAGTGAAAGGAGGACTTCTGACTAAATGCAGGACACACTTTACTTTTTTTAATGGAAACTTTAAAATAACTTTTTAAGGTAGTAAAATTCATGTTTTTAACCTAACTCATGTAAAATGCCCTGTGATTTTAGTACGTTCTGCTGACCTGCAAGCAAGGCTGTCCCTAAGGACAGTTTGCGCCCAAACCTGACAGGTGCAGCCATAGGAGAATTTCAGTTTCAGGGTTTGTAGCTGGCAGTGGTGAACGTCACACGAGAATGCACATCACTGCAGTCATAGCACTGAGAGACTGCAGCCCCATTTCTGTGATGTGGTCAGAGTTGGCCCATCTTCAGGGTTACCAGGGTAGGGTGGATTGGAAGGTGACGCTCAGCAAAAGTTCATCAGTGTGTGGCTCAAAGGCAGTATTTACTCTGAAATAAGCAAGTCTTTGCCCTTGGTCTGCTGGGTCCATTATCTGTCCAGCAGTTGTTGTGTGTCTTTCAGATGAATGAGGGCTGGACCATCACACACTCCATGAAGTCTCAGAGCAGGCTGTTGCATGGGATGTGTGTGTGCTGCTAGGAAGTGGAGGCACCCAGAATGAGTGTGGACAGGTGTACTCTAGGACAGCTCTTTGAAGCAACAGGCTCGGCTGCCCTCTCTGATCTGTGGTCATTTGGCCATGTCTATTGTCCTGTACAGACTGTTCTTCAGTCCCTAGAGGAGATGTGAGTCTGATGTCCTGAAGGCCTTCTGTGAGATTTTCCTTAAGACTACAGTGGTACCTTCACCTATGGCCTTTGCTCTTCAGAAAGATGGAGATAAAGGATTGTATTCAAAACCTTGCTTTCTGCATCTGTGGCTACATTTCTAACAGAAATTGTGTGTACTGCGCATCTGGGAGGCTGCTCTATCTCCCAGAACTTGACCACAGGCAGCCTTATTTATTTTCCCACCATAAAACCGCTGTTAACCTCTAAAGGAGAACTTCACAATGTGGAAAATTCTGTCCTAAACCTAAGATGTTTGTTAGTTGGCTTATACATGCTGCCCAACATTATGCTGTAAATCTTGAGTTGAAAAACTTCAGCCAGCCTCAGTCAAAACTTCTTATTTTGTACCAAACTTTCAACCCACCACCACCTTTCATTGTAGTTGACACACCAAAAGCTCACATAGCCTGCAGCTCAGTGAGTGATCACATGTTAACACTCCAGATCTGCTGTGAAGGTTGAGTATTTCTCATATAAAGTATTAGGGATCAGAAGTGTTTCAAATTTTAGAAATTTTTGGATTTTGGAATATCTGGATGACTTTACTTGTGAGGCATCCTAATCCCAAACCTATCATGCTCTGAAATCTGATGCTAGAAGTTTAGAATAAAGGTGTTGGCAAGGCCATACTCCTCCTAAATTCTGTAGGCAGATCATTCCTACTGTGACATTGCTCCACTTTCTACGTTTGTCATCACATGGAGCTCAGCCTGTGTATCTCATCTTCTAAAGCAGAGGTCCCAAAACTCTGGCCATGGACCAGTACTGTCTAGCCTCTCAGGAACTGAGCAAGTGAAGCTTTATCTATATTTACAACCATTTCCCATTATTGAAATTACTTCCTAAACTTCACCTTGTCAGATTAGCTCCGTGCACTCTGAAGTAGGCTTTTGAAAGTTGATTAGGGGGTCTAAATAGCTTGGCTATCAAGAGGCAGAGCTTGGTGGCAGGAGGCTGGCCACTCCCTGGCTCCTCTCTTCCCTCTGTGCTTCCTGACCTCCTTTTCCTCCACCATGCCCCTCTGCTATGCTGTCCCACTTTAGCACCAGCTGACCATGAATTGAAATATGAGCCAAAATAAGCTTCTGTAACCTGTGGGTGTCTGTATTGTGTCTCAGAGATGAGACAGTGACTAAGACAAGTGGCACTGCATTGTCATAGGAGCAGAAACCCTACTTTAAACTGCTCATGTCAGGGATCTAGGCCATGGATTCTATAATAGAATCTAATATCTGATGATCTGAGATGGAGCTGAGCCCATGATGCTAACACAAGGAATGTAATTATTACATATTACAAATATATACTAATAAAAAAGAAAGTAGCTCCCCCTCTACCCCAGTCCATGGAAAAATTGTCTTCTGTAAAACTGGTCCTTGGTACCAAAACAATTGGAGATCACTGTTCTAAAAAACCAGTCATACTCCACTATGATTTTATTTTAACTAATTATGTCTGTAATAATGCTATTTCCAAAAATTCATATTCAGAGATCCTAAGGGTGACGACTGCATATCTTTCTGAATGGAAAAACACAGTTCAACCTGTAACACTTCCCAGGTGCACCCAAACCAGTACACCACCTTCTGCCACAAAAGTAGCAGCAATATTTGTAGTTAATAATGTCATTCCCTCAAACCAGTGTACTTGAGTAAGAAAATCGTTTCCTTTTTTCTAATTTTTTATTTTATGGAAAAAATTCATAATAAAATAACAGTAACAGTAATTAATACACTCTATATCATTATCTTCAAAGTTAGTTACTCAGAGTATAGGACATAGATAAACAAGATTCTCTCATACAAAGGAGAAACAAACAAGTAATAGCACAAAACTTTCATTGCAATGAACTAAAAGAATGATTAGTATAATTGAAACAAATCAGCATATGTATTAAAATATGTTTGAAACAACAGAATAGGTAATTTGGGGAATTATTTGAACTTTTTTTATTTTATCTTCTATTTTGGCTCTGTTGCTTTTGTGTGTGTGTGTAGTTTCTCATAGAAACTATGCGATATTTAATCTTCTGTGCCTGACTTACTTCACTTGACATATACTCAAGTTGCACGCATTTACCTATAAATGCCTCAAGTTTATCTTTCTTCATGGCATAGTAGTACTCTGTTGTGTATGAGTACCACATTTTCCATGTCCACTCTTCTGTTGATGGACATATATGCTGTTTCTGAGATCCAGGCATTAAAAATTGTACTGCTGTAAATGTGAGTATGCATGTATCCCTGTAATATCTGAACAAGGAAAGTGTGATGTACTCAGTAACAGCTCTTCTGCCCTGCTTAGGTGCACCCATAAAATATTGGCTTTTCAAGCCCTGCTTCTCAGTACTGAGGATGATTCTTTTAATTACTGGTTCTGAATCAGTGAGCATAATGTTGACATGCAGATTCTCACCATTTTTATCCCAAGAAGTTTCTTCTATAGGCCTTAGCAAAACTATTTGCTTTTCTTGGCTATCATTTCTTCCATATTGCCTTATGTTAAATTTTTTCAAGTAGTTGAGGTAAGACTTTTCTACTCTTAAAAATCTGTTGCTGAAGAATTTTCTATTTACACTGCAGTCCTTGCTTTATAATATCAGAGACCTCCTGGAGCTCTCTTCCTGATCTGACATAATTGTGTTAACTTAGTTCATTTTGTACTGCTTGTAAAGAATGTCACAGAAATGTTGACTTCTGCTCCTGAGTCTGGAAAGACCCAGACCAAGAACTGGCACCTGGCAAGGGCATTCCTGTTGGCGTGGGCAGAAGGGCAAGAGAAAGAAAGCCCACCTCACCTCCTCCTACAGCAGTGGTATTGATCCATTTGTAGGGCAGAGCCCTCCTGGCCTAATTAGGGGTCCCTTAAGGCTGCATCTCCCAATACTGTTTCATTGGGGCTTAAGTTTCCAACCTAAGTTTTTGGAGGAGCACAGTTAAACCATAGCAAGTATATCCTTAAAGTATCCTTTCTTAAAAGGAACTGATATGTTATTGTAGCTTCTTTTTTTTTGGGGGGGGGGCTCCTCAAATGCCTTCAGGGCACTTTTGGCGGGCTGGAGTGTTGTGGGGATCGAACTACAGCAACCTGAGGCTGACAGCTTTGTGGAAGCAGCCACTTAAAGAGCTGAGCTAGGGCCAGGCCCCCTGTATCTTCTTAAAGTCATAATTCATCTATAAGAAACATTACTACAAGCATAAATTTTTAAAGAGTATAAATTTTAAAATAAATATAAATTTTTAAAGAACATTCTGAAAAAAAGAGAAAATTTTTATAGGCAAGAAGTTTTTTTTTTTTTTTTTCCTAAATCATATCATTAAATTTTCAGGATTATACTTTTCTAAATGATTCCAAAAGCAATTAACTGGCTGGTTTGAATAAAGATAAAAAGCCCCCTTTGTAAACTAGCAGCAATGATCCCTTATAGCTAGTGGGCCTGGACTAATAAGTAAACAGACTCAGAACAGTTTCTTGATTTGTCCAAGGTCACAGTGAGGCAGAGTCAAACTCAACCAGTTCTTGAGCAGAACTCAAGGCAAGCAGAAAATTGTTTTATTATGTGATGGTGGTATCTTAAATTCTAATCTTAAAAAACGCTGTTGATCCTTAAATCAAATTAACTGTATAGATGATATATTTAAATGTGATAAGAGAAGACAGGAGTTTCAATGTCGAACATAGAAGAGCCATACGGAGTAAGCTCTTTCGTGTACCATGTAACACTATCTGACTACAAGTTGTGTCCAGATTTTCACTGGGAAATACAGTATATAAGTATCTGTGAAAGTGATCTGAAGCCATATCTTATTTACACTTTAGATACATTTCATCAGTCTCTTCACTTTCTATAAAACATCTTAAATATAAAAGGTAATTTAAAACTTTTTTGTTTTGTAAAGAGGGTAGGCCCGTAACACGTCCAGCTTGCTGCTTAGCATCATATTGAATCCCAGAAATGACCCAGAATTATGAATAATGCTTTTTCAAAAGGATTGATGAATGTGTAATGTTTTCTTTCTTTTTCTAGCCAAGGACCCTTGTCATCCATTCGAGCAGTAATCAAAAGATGTAAGTTTGTTTTTTCCTGCTCTATATTTTTGTTTGTAGTACTTTTAAATGATGGTTTTGATTTCCAGCAAGTGATTGTGTTTCGTGAATTTACAAAGAACCCAAGAAAAGTAGCTTCTTGTAAAAAGTGGTAAAGCGTTTTAAACAGCTAGTATTTTAGCTTTCATTTATTAAGAAATGACTCAGAACAATAGCTTTCTTTTATAGAATAAAGCCATTTAAATACAAAATTGCCTCTGGAGTTAACATCTATGATATGATACAACTTTACCTTCTAAAGTTAGACACATCTGATGAGTTTAAAAAATATTAAACCCTGTACTTTTGTATTCATTTCTTTTCCTGGTTTTCTTCATAATATATTTTTAAAGTTGTATGAATGCCTATGAAGACAGACTCATATGTAAGAGAATTACTGTAAAAAGTCCTTCCAAAAATGACACATTTATACTTTCTGTCTTTACCTCTTGATTAAAGTTTTAAAGTTTGCTCTTGGTACAGAATTTCAGGTGTATCTTTAAGTCACTCTTCTTAAATAAAAGGCTATGGAAAGGGGCCTTATCCAAATAGAACATGAATTACCTGTTATAGCAAAAAACCGTAGAAATGGGATTTTAGATGGTCTCCTTATTAAAGCTGAAGTAACCACAGTGAAAATGTAGCCTGTTTTTAGAAACATAATTTTTAATATTTAATATTAATTTAACTATAGATCATGAATAACATGCATTAGAGCCATTCCACTGAAAATTTTAAGGAAACAATACAGAAAAAGATGGCATGTTTCTTCATTCCATTTCTGTGTTGGTGAATTATAAAGATGTGTATGATAAAAGGAATTCAAATATTTACATGAAAATTCATGAGAGTGTTACATGTCTTGGTATGCTTAGGGTGGGGCTGAGAGGAAAGGAGAAAAACTGGGAGAATAAAGCATTCACAATGGGCCATGACTCATGTTTCACTGCCAGGTGGCTCAGAAAAAATGATGGGTAGTCCATACCTGACTATCCTGTCAAGTGGCATGAGACAGTTCCATGAGGTGGTACAGACCACCCAATGAGATAGTCATGCCTATACCTCCAGTAGTTCAAGCCAGTGGGGATATATTAAATGGGAAATTAGAGTATAGAATTTAAGCAAGATACATACTTTGGAACAGCCCAGGGTATAGACAAATTCCTGAAAGTAGCTAAGCATTAAAGGAGAAAGTGTACAGGACAGAGATGATGACCAGGGGCATAATCTTTTGATGACTGAGGTGAAACTATTCCCTTTAGGGAACATGATGCACAAGATGCACAACCCAGTAGCCCAGTCCGACTGAAGAGGAGGGCCTCCTTCATGGAGTCCTTCCTGGTGACCCCTGGCTTCTTAACCTTAATGCAGTTAAATGTAATTACTTGGTTAAGAGAGGTAATCTGTATGTGACCTCCCATAGATCCTCCAGGGTGGATCCTGCTTACCCTGAGGTCACTTGAGCTATGCAAGGCTTTAAGAGAAGACAACTAAGTAAGCCCAAAAACTGAAAAAGAAGGGTGAGGGTAACAGAAGAAAACCACAAGGCACTGCTAGAGATCAAAAGGTTTTGTAAAGACTGTGTGAGCCATATTGTAGCAGCAAGGTGAACCAAAAAGTGCCTTAGAACAGATCCTCAAGTGTAACTCTCAGGAGGTCGGTGGAGAGCTTTGAGAGAGCAGTGTCAGAAGAAGACTGAAGTGTAAAATGTGCCTTGCTATGAACAGTAGGAGTTGGGACTGCGAGTTGATAGCTACTTTTATGAAATTGAGGGTAATGAGGGATTATAGTTTGAGAAGGCAGCAAGGTCAAGTGAAGAGGAGAATTTAACTTGTCACAAACTGCTGAGAAGAAGGAGGAGCTTGAAGACTTCTGAGGCATGGGGGAAGCAGTCAGTGGAGAGCAGCCTCAGGTTTGTTTTTGTTTTGTTTTCTTTTTTATATTTTAGGGAAGGGTCTACAGGGTGTTCAGGGTCTCACTACTAGATCGAACTCATAGTGATCCACCTGTTTACAGCCTCTCAAGAGATGGGATTACAGTGCACGACACCATGCCCAGTCTCAATTGCTGTCTCAGCATGCCCCCAGTGGTGTGGGGCGGGGGGGCGCGGCAGGGCAGGCCTGGGGATTGAACCCCTGGCCCCTGCGCCTGCTTGCAGGCACTGTAATCCACTGAGCTATTTGGCCAGCCCTTCAGGTTTGAAAAAAGAGGAATTTGTGAAGCAGCCCTAGCTGAAAGGAAGCAATAAAACAAAGAGAAAATTCTTGCTTTAATATATCTGGAGGTTTTCCTTTCTAATTAACTCAGTTTTCTTTTATTTTTTTTATGTCAGTCACTTTGTAGACACTAAAGATATATTTATTTGTGTTTATGCCTAATGTTAAGCAAGAGGGCCAAATAGATCTCTCATAATGTCAAGTAAGTGTAAAATGAGGACTGTTTGTGCTAACCTCTTTTCTTTTTCCTTTTTGCCCATTGTTTTTTTTTTTTTTTTTTTTTAAGTGGTCAGGATTATGTGGCTCAAGAGCTCTTACACAGTATATAAGGTCCTAGTTTCAATTCCCAGAACTGAAAAGAAAAAAAGAAAACAGAGAAAGAAAAAGTTATAATTTAAAAAAAAAAATCTATTCCAGACTCAGTCATTTAAGACTGGTGAAAAGAAAGAATTTTGTCATATTTTAAGACAGTGCTATATTTGAGATTCTTTCATAATGATTCTACCTCCAGGAAATGTGTGGATTCAATTTTGCATTTGTTCTCATGATCCTTAAATAATCTTGCTAGTTGTTTGATGTGCCCTAATCAGATATACCTGGAATTTTGTAATCTTTCTTTTGTTAACTTTTTAAAAGGAAAGTATTCCTCAGTATCTGTTACTGATTATCTACCATAGACGAGAAGTGTAAATAACACTCTGTATATTTCTTAGTTACTTTTCCCTTTCTGGAAAAAATACTCCCCACAACCCAGCAAGTTAAAGAAGGGAAGGTTTATGTCACAGTTTGTGGAGGTTTCCATCCGTAGTGGACTGGCTCCAAGGCAGGGTGGCATGGCACCAGTGAAGCAGTCCAGGGCGTGGCAGGCAGAAAGCAGCAGAGACTTCCTTCTTCCTTTCCTTTATATTGGATCCAGGCTAAAGCCTATTGTTTGGTGGCACCCACGCAGAGTGGGTCTTTCTTCTTTAGTATACTCATCATCCACATTCAGAACTATGCTAAACCAATCAGTGGGCCAATCCAGTATTGCATACGTGTGGTCCAATCACTTCCAAAATCTCTACCTGTGAGTTCATGAGGCTTTAGGGGGACATCTTGATAGAAGCTATATCACCATGGTAGATATTAGTCCCCTGTTACAGAAGGAAGAAAACTGAGTCCAGAGAGAAAATGGCTTCACAGGTTAGAACTGGGATGTGAACCTCAGCTTCTGGATTATAAAGCCATGGAACTTTTCATTCCAGAGATGTTCTTGTTAAGTGGGTCTGGTTCATGCCTCCTATCCAAATGAATGTAGCCAAGCTTTTTGATCTTGTTAGTGTTCATGGTGGTGTGTGTGTGTCTGTGTGTCTGTGTGTCTTTCACTGATAAAGTGGTTCTATAGCAAGAGAATGTATAGTAATCCTATGTATTATTTATCCTAATCATTTTACCAATAATTTTGAATTATTCAGAACAGAGTAGCATCCAGCTCATCTGGCTCCATAGGAGCTAAGCCACTTCAAGAAATGAACTGCTTCCAGCCTTGCCCCCTGATGGGCAGAGTGACTTTGGGATAATCTACTTCAACTCCTTTATCTCATCTGTGGTTTGAGTGGGATGATTCCTGGAGTTTTTCGAGGTTTAGGAGCTTACTGAAACTTGGGAGGATTCCTTACTGGTTACGCTATTACAGATCTACATCTCAACTCTAGCCTACCATGTTTTATATTTAGAGCTTCACCATTTAAATTAGGAAAGCTTCAAAACAGTTCTGTAGAATAGTAGGATAACTTATTCTGCCTTTATTGTCCAACATTAACCCAAAGTGCACAATGGACTAACAACTCGAGGTTAAATGGATTATGTTAATCTTTATGAGTGTTGTTGGTACATTTGATTCTCCTGGCAGTAAGTATATCAAATATGATTAATCCAGGAAAAAGAATGATATGTATAAGTGCATAATTCACAAACTAGCAGGAAGAGCCATGAGATATCACATGAAAGTCTACATGAAAACCTAAAGGATTTCAAGCTGTTAAATTAGCTCAACACTGATAAAAAGTAACAGTAGTTTTATAAAAATCAAGAGAAAAAAATTGTACTGAAGTTGAGTAAATGTGGGAAGGGGAGCAATTACAGGAGAGAGCAAAGCAGTGATTAAGGTGGAGAAGGCAGTCTGCAGTGAGGCCGCTGTCCTCACCCTGTGGCATCAAGAGGGGCAGCGCCATTGTGCTGCCAGGGCGAAGGCAGGGGCTGTTACCGTCGAACCTGAGAAGGCTTCACAGGCTGTTACCTATGAAGGGGCAGAATCAAATTAAAAGTCACTGATTTAAAAGAATGTAAGTAGACTACTAACTTACCTCTCTTAAGTATTATTTGTACTTTAAAATCAGTTCCTATTGAGGTAGTATCACTTGCACTATTAAAAACTACAATCAGATTTTGTTAAACTATGGTTGTGTGTGTGTTGATGATCTGGCCTTCCAGACAAATCTTTGGGACAGTGTATTTCTTTACCCTCTGAAGTCATGGTTCATGAGCTTTTTCCCCCATGTAAGTGTGCCAGTAGGGAGAAACAGTGCGGCAAGTTTGATGTGGCAAGTCTTGCTCCTGTATTTCTTTTAGAGCATAGGTTCACCCTCTTCTCTTTCTTTCCTCTTCTATAACCCCTTCTTTTTTTCCCTTAGCACTCATGAATAGTGCACAGCAAAATGCCCCGTGGAAGAGGTATGTTTGTGACAATAACATGAAGCCTTCGCTATGTGTCTTGATTCCAGCTTTAGCATGGTGGCAATGTGATTATAGTATATTGGGGACAGCCTGGGACATGATGACACCATTCTTACCAATCAGACTCACCACGCAGAGCTCTAGCCTCTCTGTCCCCTTCACTGAGTACACAAAATGCACCTCAACTTGGTTTAGCTCTTAGTTACAGAGTAACAATCAAGCTAGCTGATAGTGAAAAGGTAGGAGCCTCTTCCCAGTTGAGATCCAAGGGCTTAGGTTGCAGGTGTTTGGGGTTTGCGCTACCAGCCCAGCACAGGTGAAGCTAACATAGCTCTAATCCCAATCAAATTTTCATTTACAGCTCCCCTTCTGCCCCTTCCTCCCTCAGGTTAAGGGAGAAGCAGAAATTAATAGAAAAAAAAAGAAAAAGGAAATATCCACACTTCCATTCATTTCAAATCAGAACCACTGCAAAAGCTATGGACAGATAACAAAAGTAACTGATTGAAATAGTTACTGTCTGAAAGAAATCCATACCTTGAACATCTTTACAGTATAGTACTTGTCCTCCAAAGAGTCTTAAGAATGAGTTCCATGGAGAGATAATATTCTGTACTACATAAAAATTGATTCTATGTGTGACATATTTTCCAAATTATTTGATTAAGATTTTGTTTGCTTTATAAAGTTGCAACAAAACAAGTTTTTTTTTTTAATGGGGCTGAAGAGATAGCTCAGTAGAATAAGTGCTTGCCTAGCAAGCGCAAGGGCCTGAGTTCAATCTTCAGTTCCACAAAAAAAATAAATAAAGTTGCAACAAAAATTTAAGCCTTGGGGCCAAGGAGATGGCTCAGTAGAATAAGCGCTTGCCTGGCAAGCACAAAGTCCTGAGTTCAATCCCCGGTTCCATGAAAAAAAAAAATTAAGCCATAAAATTTTGAGTTTGAAACTTGAGGGAAGGGCCAGCAAAATAGCTCAGTGGATTAAAGTGCCTGCAAGCAGGTGCAGGGTCTGGGGGTTCAGTGCCGGCCCCACCCCCAGGGCACACTGAGACAGCAATTGAGACTGGACATGGTGGCGTGTACCTGTAATCCCAGCTCTTGGGAGGCTGTAAACAGGTGGATGACAAGTCCAATCTAGTAGTGAGACCCTGAACACCCTGTAGACTCTTCTCTAAAATACAGAACAAAACAAAAAAAAAGAAACTTGAGGGAAAAGTTGGTGCATATGTGTGTTTATAAAAGTGATTTGAACACCTTTTGCATTTATTATCTTTTAATTACTAAAACTACTTAGAAGTAGTGAAATTACTGAAAAGTTATAACGTACTTGAAAATGTAACTGTTTCCCATACTGTGTAATACAGTCATAAACAAATACAAGTCCAACCAGATAGATTGAAATAGCTATTTTTAATAATTTTATTTCTATTATCATTTCATGTCATCTTAATGTTCCAAGCTTCTATATTTAGCAGCTTCCTTCTTTTCTCTGTTCATCCTTCAAGTTATTTTCAGAACCACAGAATGTGCTTTGGGAAGGTTTTGCAATCTATTTCTTTTATGAAATTCAAATTTATAATTAACCTTATCCAATATAAAAACATTTTGATTTACTTTTCTTATTAAAGGTGTTAAAAGCCATACATTCTATATGATGTCCATTATATAAGCTAACTTCTTCCAAATGTATGCTGTATAAAAATTTAAATCTTTACTGAGTGTGCTATTTTAATACTATGCCGGTTATCCTTTATTCTGTAGCATCTCGGACTTCTATTCAGAATGAACTTCATCGAGATAGGAGGTAAGGTTATAGTTACCCATATTGATATGCTGCTGACAATTGAAATAAAAGTGTGTCATCAGTTAACAAATTAAGTATCTCTTTCATAAGCAGGATTTTTTTTTATTTTTATTTTTTATTTATTTATTTAT